CAGGGAGATGTTCTGCTGCCACCTTGTGGACAAGAGGAACCTCGTGCGCCGTTGAAGGCTGTGTAATTCTGGGACCATCCGGGCGCAGGGAGAAGCTGAAGCCTTTCCCTGAGCCGCCCACGTGCACCTTGGTGTCAACAGGAAGTGAGCTCTTCCCTTCTCGGAGAAGGTCATCGCAGCGCCCTGTGGGTTGTGTGGCCTCAGCTGGGCACACCTCAGCTTATCAGCGGGTCACCCAGCAAATACTGGAGCGGAGACACCAGGTGCAGGTTCTGCGGGATTCCTGAGCCCAAGGCCACCCTTTGCCCTGCTCAGGACCGGCGTTCTGTGTATGCGGTGCCTACATGGCAGGCCTTCCGGGGTCTCTCTCGTCACCTTAGTTACCCGGATGCCGTAGACACGCGCCCAGGGCAGGACGACAGAGGCCCGGCACTAGCTGTGTGTGCGGCTAGACTCAGCATGTCCTGAGTTTCAGACACTCGGAGCAGAGGGGCTTGGTGTGCTCAGCCTCTGCACCCTCAGCCCCCGGGACTGGCCTGTCTCTCCTCACCCAGTGCTCACTGCAGGCATCACAAGACACTGCACCTCGAGTTCTCCCAGAAGCTGCTTTGGTGGCTCTCAGCCCCAAGCGACAGGTTTCGCCTGCTGTTTCCGGGCTGACAGACAGCTGATAGGAGCGGCGCTGTTCCTGGACTTTTCTGTGCTGTTGCAAGGCCCAGCTTGGAGGTTTGGGGGCCGCCCTGGTTCCTTCAGGCTGTGTTGAGCAGAACTGTGTCTGTCGCTTCTCTTCGGAGCAGAACCTTGTCGGAAAGGACACGGAGACCTTGGCCCTGGCTGGGGCTGACGCCAGTGAGGAAGAGCTGTGAGCCAGCCCTGTGCTCCTTCCTGGGGTCTCCAGCTCGCTCCATGTTCTGGGGCTTTGATGTGTGGGCAGATGCCCTTCTCTGCTCCATTTCTGACCCTCAGGAGCAGTTTCTGGGAAGAAGGGGTAGGAAGGAGGCAGCCGCTGAGGGAGAGGAAGGTCTGATTTACCATTGGGCCTGGGCTGGTTCCAGGCGCCGGTCCTCTAAGAACGGGAGATGTCCTTTTACCCGTGGGACTGGGTACTGCTGCCGCCTTCCTGTGCCAGTGTTTGTGTCGGGGGCAGGGGCGTTCCCCTCCACTCTCCTCCTGCTGCTCCCACCAGGGGCCAGTCAGATTCTCAAGCAGGTCATCCCCCCTCGAATACCCTGTTCCTCCTCCGTCCCCAGAGGGCCCCCAGACTGCTGTCCTCTGCTTGCATTTTCATTGGCTGGGGGAAGGGTTTGAGGTGAGCAGCCTTCTTTGGGGGAGGGGTAATTCCCTGTGTGTGAGAGAGAGAGAGAGACAGGCAGACAGATGTGCAGATAGGGAAGTTGAGTGTGGGAGTTGTAAACTTGGAAAAGTGAGTCAGGATTCCTGGGCCACGCTCGTCCCCATGCCCGAAGGATCCTGGGAAAGGCCCTTCGGCTGAACCATCTATTATGTGAAGACTGCGCACCCCTCATCACTGTCAATGACTAGTCCCAGGGGAAGACGACTTCACCCCTCGAGCTCCGGGGAATCCAGCCCAGGACTTGGGAATCTCCGGCTCTTGGCTGGACCCGGGATGGAGAGGCCCTGCCTTCCTCAGGCATCCCCCACTCCAGCCCCTGTGGAATGTGCCACTTTTATCTTGTACTTTGTTCCGACCAGGACCCTGGCTTTCTCAAGCTGAGAGGGAAGTAGGGAGTTGGGTTGGACTGGGTGGGGGAGCGTGGCAGGAACCTGGGAGCATTACCTTGGTAAAGGAAAAAGCAAGTCCCCTCATCCTTGCCACTGCCAGAACTGGTTTCTCCTGATCTGCCTGCGGCCCTTGTGGGTTACGGTGACTGTCTCCTGGCTGTCTCCAGGGCCTTGGGGAAGACTGGGAGAGCCCAGCCATTAATAAGTGGTGCAGCCGACATTGGTCAAATCCAAAGGGCTTGGAGGGAGTGCGCATCAGGCTCCAGCCAGTCGTGCAAGCCAACGATTCACCTCTGCTCAGCCAGTCAACCTCTGCACACCTCTGGACAGGAGGTGAGACCCAGGAGCTGTAGACCAGCGAGTTCAGGGACTGATAAGTCAGGTCCCTTGTCTAGAACTGTGTGGTCCAGGCCCAGAGGTTATCTTTGGATTTCCCACTGCCCTTAGGCAGGACCACACTTAACCCAGTCCAGATGATTTTATAATCGCCAACGAAGAAAGGCTCCATCATCGACAGAACAGCTAACGCCCCTGCACACCCCAGCAACCCTGATTTCCAAGTTTCCGGGTCTCAGAATGCCTGAGCCTCCAAGGAAGACAGGATCACCCCATGTGGGCTTCCCATTGTGCAGATAAGGAGACTGAGGCCTAGAAAGAGCTAACGATTTGCCTGCCTGACTGTTACTTTACACTCCTACTAGTTCCAGCCCTAATGTATCACCTTTAGCTTTTCCCTTTGGGGGAAGAGTGGCCCACCTCTGTCCAAAGCCCGGCCCAGTAAGGACTGTTACTTACTTGGCCTGCTCTTAATGACAGCTCCTCACCTACCTGCCCCAATCCAAGGAGGAGCCCTGGGCTGGAATTTCCTGTTTTCTGAGGGCTGCACGGGCTGCCCCAGCAGGCTCGCTCCCCAGCGCCGCCGGTCCAGGGTGTTCCAGGCCAGGCTTGCCGCCTCTCTCTCTGCTGGGCTGGCTCCCGGCCTCTCCAGGTCTGGGCTTGCCGGGCGCGCGGTGGAGGAGTTGTGGGCCTCAGCCAGCCGACGCCAGGTGCCCAGAGGCCGGAGGTCCGTGCGCCCCGGCCGCGGCCCCGGCCCGGGCCCCGCCCCGTGCCCCTCGCCATGGGCCTGGCCTTTGCCTACGGGCCCTGACCATGGAGCAGGGCTGGCCGGCGGGGTACACCTACAGCCGGGAGCGGCCCGCCGCCTGCCGCCGCGCCCTCAGCGTCTGCGACTCGCTGGACCTGCACGGCGCCCCGGCCGACCACGCGGCCCCCGCCCTGCAGGCCGCCCTGTGCGTGGGGCGCGAGCCGTCGGCACGGCCGCGGAGCGTGTGCTCGGGAGACCCGGGGCCCCCGCCGCCGCCGCCCACCGGCGCCCGCAGCCTGCTGCTCGGCTTCCTGCGCCCGCGCTTTGGCCGCCGGGGCCCTGCCCACGGCCGGCCGCCGGCCCCCGGGCCCGCGCCCTCGGGGCTCCCCGGCTCCGCCGTGTCCAGCCCGGTGCCCAGCCCTGCGCCGGCTCGGCGCCGCCGCTCCGGGGGTGCCCAGGCGCCGCGGCCGCGGCCCACCAGCATGACGTTCCTGGAGGTGAACCGCCTGGAGCTGGCCGAGGCCGAGGCCGCGGGCGCGGGCGCCGGGCTGGGCCGCGCGGGCAGCGCCGGCTTCCTGCGGGGCGCCTCGCTCTGGAGCAGCCAGCGCTGGCAGGTGCTGCGCGGCGGCGGGGGGCGCGTGGCCCCAGGCCCCCGGCGCGGCCTGTCGGCGCTGAAGAAGAGCTTCAGCTTCCGCCTGCGCCGCGGCCAGGAGATCCGCCGCGCCGAGTCCGGCCTGCTGCCCCGGGCGCGCACCCGCAGCGACGGCGACACCAGCTCGCTGGGCACCTTCCCCAGCCGCCGCGACCTGCTGCTGGGCACCGAGGCCCCGCGCGCCGCGCCGGAGCCCGGCCGCCCCCGCTCCGCCGCCGGCCTCTGGAAGCTGCTCACCAGCCGCTTCCGCCGGAGGGAGCCGGAGCCCGAGCCCGCGCCCGCGCGCGCAGAGCCGCTGTGGAGCCGGCGGGCGGCCACGGCCCCCCGGCTCTTGGGAGCGCCCAGCGGTAAGGGAAGAGCCCCTCCTGCGGGTCCTTTCCTGTCGGCTGAGAGCGGGTGGGAAACCTGGAACCTACCTGGGCGAGTGGGCGTGCCGGGAGGGCGGGGTGCAGCCAGGCTGCCCAGCTGAGGGCAGCGCTCAGGCAGGCCCTGGGGTCGCCGCCGGCCCCGAAGGTTGCCGTGGCCGACAGAGGGGGCATCTGGGCGGTCCCAGTGCTGCCGCCGGCCCACGGCCTGGTGGCATAGGAGGCCAGGGCCGAAGATGCCCCCCCTGGCTTTTGGCACGTGCAGCATTGAGGGCCAGCGGAGCAGATGCAGTGGCTGGCTCCAGGCGGGGCCAGAGCACAGTTCTGTTGTGTAGCCCCCGGCGGGGCTGGAGCTGTCCCTTATGGCTGCCTCTGCAGATGGACTTGGGGACTGCTTGTGGACCCGGTCGGTTGGATAACTCTTGAGACAGCCTGGGGCGGGGCAGCCAGCAGGGCCCACTGCGGCCTAGAACATGAAGGTGGCACAAGCCCCCAGAGGGCCCTGGGCAGCCCAGGGCTCCCCTTCCCCAGGACAGTGCCAGCGTCAGGCCAGCCACTCTGGTCTGAGAGTGGACGGAAGAGGAGGGAGGCAGGTGTCGGGGAGACAGGGTGGTGGCTTCCCCCACCAGGTGGAGCTGGGGGTGGAAGGCTGTCACAGAACAGGGCCAGGTAAGGGCTCCTCCCTCTCTACCCTGGCAGGAATGCGGTGGGTGGCCCCACCCTGCACAGGGGAGCTGTTCCTACTCGCTGCAGGAGGTTGGCCCCCCTGCCCAGCTGCCAAGTGCCCAACCCCGCTTGGGTCTAGGCTGAGACCTGCTGGAGCTGCCTCTCACCTGGGCCTGTTGTCTGGGCCCCAGGGGCACTGGGCTGGGTGTGGCTCAAGGTGGGAGCTACTTGTTGCAGCAGTAAGAGGAGGGACCTACGTCCTAGCCAGGGGACCGAGCCCACACCCCTCAGAGTCCTCTCCCTGAGGACTGTCATCACTCCATTCCGTTTCCCTCTGCTCCCTAGGGACCTAGGGGTGAGGGTTGGGTCCTCTCTGGCCAGTGCTGGCCTCTGGCCTGGGCCCAGGAAGGGGCAGTGCAGGAGACAGCTGGCAGCAGGCAGCACAGGGGTGGGTGCTACCTGTCCTGACAGGCAGCCTTCTCTCCTGCAGACTCCTTTGTGAACAGCCAGGAGTGGACCCTGAGCCGCTCAGTGCCTGAGCTTAAAGTGGTGAGTGAGGTGGGGAGGGCGGGGCTCCGCCTGGGCTGCTTTCCTCTGGCCCCCTTCCCCCCTCCGCACTGGTCCTTCTCAGTCCTGAGGGTTTTTGCCTTTCCTGCCCTGTCTCCCTCCTGTGTGTCCTCTGACCGCTACTGTCCCCCCTTCCTCTCCCGCAGGGCATTGTGGGGAACCTGTCTAGTGGGAAGTCGGCCCTTGTGCACCGCTATCTGACGGGGACCTATGTCCAGGAGGAGTCCCCTGAAGGTGAGCGACAGGCTGGCCACACTGCCCTCTTTTCTGTTGTCTGTACGGGGGCTGGAGCCCCCTTTTCAGTACGCCTGTCTCCTGGGAAGCTGTGCCTTCCCTGGGTGGCCCTCGGGCGCCCCTCCTGGCTTCGGGCCTGACCGTGCCCTCTGTCCTAGGGGGTCGGTTTAAGAAGGAGATTGTGGTGGACGGCCAGAGTTACCTGCTGCTGATCCGGGACGAGGGAGGCCCACCTGAGCTCCAGGTGAGCCTCCTGCCGAGCCCTGGCCACGGTGTGTGCGCGGGAGTGGGGGAGAGAGTTCGCCCGTGACCAGGTGAGGCTGGTAACTGTGCTCGGTACCCCCCAGTTTGCTGCCTGGGTGGACGCGGTGGTGTTTGTGTTCAGCCTGGAGGATGAGATCAGCTTCCAGACGGTGTACAACTACTTCCTGCGCCTCTGCAGCTTCCGCAATGCCAGCGAGGTGCCCATGGTGCTGGTGGGCACGCAGGGTGAGCACGCCCGCGGGCCTGGTTCCCCGGTGGGCAGGTGTGAGGAGGCCCAGCCCCCACCTTCTGCCCCGTGTTGGACGGGCACCTCCACCTGGCTCCATACCCCCGCATCTGCCCCAGCTGCCTTCTGCCATCCTTGGGACGATCGGGTCCATGTGTTTTGAGATGAAGTAACTGAGCAGCTGGACCGAGGCCAGCCTCCTGTGTTCTTGTGCTCACCCCTCCGACCAGAGGCCCTCCCCCTCAGCACCCCAGCTTCTCTGCAGGCTGAGTCCCCGCCCTCCCGCCTCCACAGATGCCATCAGCGCTGCAAACCCCCGGGTCATCGATGACAGCAGGGCCCGGAAGCTGTCCACAGACTTGAAGCGCTGTACCTACTATGAGACATGCGCGACCTACGGGCTCAATGTGGAGCGTGTCTTCCAGGACGGTAACTTCCGGGCGGGATGGCTTCCCCGAGCCGGTCAGGAGGGCCCTCTGGCGGCGGGGCTGTGTGCCCTGGGGGGGGCGGCTCTAAGCTGGGCTTCTCCCTTCTCCCCAGAGGGGTAATTGACTCTGCTGTCCCCTGCAGTGGCCCAGAAGGTGGTGGCCTTGCGGAAGAAGCAGCAGCTGGCCATCGGGCCCTGCAAGTCACTGCCCAACTCCCCCAGCCACTCGGCAGTGTCCGCCGCCTCCATCCCGTCCGTGCACATCAACCAGGTGCGGCCAGCCTCCCCGTGTCCCGCCGCCTTCTCGCGCTCGGCCCTGCCTCACCATGCTGTCTGTCTGCCTGCCTGTCCCCTTCTCATCCGGTCTCCTGCCTTGCGGAGGGCTTGAGAGGGTTCCCTGCAGCTGTGCCACTGGCCTGGCCTCATCTGCACCCCTGTGGTGACTGCCTTCCTGCTAGCACCCACCCCTGCTCGCCCCCCTCCACCCTGCAGCCCCTCCGCTGCGGTCAGCGCCCTTAGGGCTGTTTCCGGAGCCGCTGCCCATGGAGCAGACTCAGGAGGCAGAGGCGTTCTTGTGGGCCTGCTGGGGGCCAGCCCTGGGCAGAACCGGGAGTGAGCGGCCCCCGTGGGCCCTGTCAGTGTTTGAGTTTAGAGGGGCAGTGCTTGCCCCGGAGGGACCAGTGGCCTTTGCGCCAGGTTGGGTGCGGGCGGTGCTTCTGAGCCAGGTCCTGCCAGCGTCCCTCTCGTAATTCCACTTGGACGCCCATCCACCTCCCGGCCTACTGCCTGGTCATTTTTCGGCCCTTGGCCTACGGGCCAGGGCTTCCTCCTGTGAGTGCCTTTCCCCTCTGTCCCCTGCGCTGCAGGGAGCCCCGGGCCATCACAGGCGCAGCGGGTGGAGTGGTCCAGAGGGCCCACCCTGGCCACCATTCCCGCTGGCAGCCTGGCTGCTTTTTCAGAGATGCCTCCCTTGGCGTCTTAGAGGGCAGCCCGGCTGCGTCCCTGAAGCAGCCCACGCGATGCACCGGGCCTGCCCGGGGGGCTCTGGTGGGTGGGGGCGCAGCAGCTCCTTTGCTCCCGGCGGAGGTCAGAGTGCGAGGGGCACCAGGTCCTGACCCCTGGCGCGGACACCGGCTTGCACTTTTCTGTCCCCATCTCGTCATCTCTTCTGCCTTCCCTCCTTTTCCCGGCGCTGTCCCCTCCTGCCGCCGCCTCTGACAGTGGTCTGAGCTCTGCTCTGTGCTTGGCCGCAGCTCTCTCCGTCCCTTCCCGTCACACACACTCCTTACGAGCCCCGGTCTCCCACGTCCCTGACATATGTCCCAGCCAGGGTGACCTGCCACCTCGTGTCACACCCCCCGTGAGCCAAGACTCCACAGTTCACTTGCTCCCTCAGCCACTGACTGACTTGCTAGCTGTTGCCCACAATGAGTTCCCTGGTTGGCACAGTTGGCAGCCCCGCGCGGTGATGGCTGGATCCCGCCGGCCTCCTGGCCGTGCTGCCTCCTGAGTGTCCTCTGCAGGGGCTCGTGGCCCCCTGCTGCTCCGTGAACCCCGGCAGCCCCCCCTCCCCCCACACTGGGCTCCCGCCTGCTGCCTGCCCCGCACCCCACGCAGAGCCGTCCTCAGCAGCCCTCTCTGTCCTTAGGCCTCGAACGGCGGCGGCAGCGCCTTCAGCGACTACTCGTCCTCAGTCCCCTCCACCCCCAGCATCAGCCAGCGGGAGCTGCGCATCGAGACCATCGCTGCCGCCTCCACCCCCACACCCATCCGCAAGCAGTCCAAGCGGCGGTCCAACATCTTCACGGTACGTGCCCGTGCTCCGCCCCTCACCGCCTCCACCCCGCCGCAGCTCCATCCACACGGACACACATCTCCACAGGCTCTGAGGGTGCCCCAGTCTCCCCCAGACTGCCCCCAGCCCTCAGCACACCCCTCGGACCCGCCCGCCTTGCCGCACACACCGATCCTCTCCCTGGCCACCTCAGGGCCTCTCGGCCAGTCTGCAGGCTTTGGGGCGTCTGCACTCACTGCCCTGACACCCTGGATTCAGATGTTGCGCATCAGGGCCCCACACAGGGCGAGCGGCAGAGCGAGAGCCAGGGCCCAGGCCTCCTGTCCGCATTCTGTCTTCCATCATGCTTCCGCCCTCCGCGCGGCCAGTCCAGCAAAGCTTCAGACGCCTTCCCCAGGCCCCAGCCTGTGCCTCACCACCCGCCTTCAACCCCCAGAGGCCACCGACCTCAGGCCCGGGGCCCACGTGCCTCTCACTGCTGGCCCAGCTCTAAGCTCTTAGGTGTCCTGAGCCTGCTGTCTGTCAGGACCACCACCTAGCATCTGACACAGCCCACCCCTAGGGCTCACTCCAGCTGGGATTTGGCTGGACCATTCCAGGATCTTGGGTCAGACACAGGTGGGTGAGCTGCTGCGTGGATTCTCAGGAGATCGCCCTGCCCTTCTGCGTCACTCCATGCGCCTCTCTCTGAGCGTCAGGGCCTGGCTCTCAGCCTGGCCGGGTCCTGCTGCCCGGCCACGCCCCAGCCAGGCTCTCGAGAACCCGCCCAGCAGGGCCAGTGCTCCCAGGCCAGGCCTCGCCCATTCATCTCGCCTCCGCCCCACCCAGCGCACCTCCGCTCAGTCCGTCTGCCTGCCTCTGTCCCGTGCCTGCCGCGCGCTCCCCCTGTCCATGCCGAGACCCTCTGCTGACAGCTGTCCACGCTTTGCACTTCCCAGCCCTGACCCTGCCGAGACTCGTTTCTGTCCACACCCATCGAGCCTCCCAGGGCCTTGGGCTGCCTGCTTGTGCCGCATCTGCTGCCGCCGCCCCTGCAGAGCCCGTGGGTGCCCGTGTGGGCGGTGACCCCGTGCCTGCTCCCTGACACCATTCTTACCTCCCACCGCCTCTGCTGCTGGGCCCGCACGCCCGGCGCCGCCTCTGTCCGCGCCATGCCCGGCTCCCGGCCGCCTCGCCGTGGCCCCGTCGTGCTTCCTGCCCTGTGCCCCTGCTGCCTGCTGCACGGTGCTGCCTCCGCCTGCCACCCTCCGCGGGCCCTTCATTCTCTCCATCTTCACGGTGGCGGCCTTATTTTTCCCTTCCATTGTTTCCATGGTGACCTCCCTTGCGCCATTGTCCCCAGGCAGCTTCGAGACATGTCCCCGTCTCTGAGGGTGTGTCTCGGGACCTCCCCTCGTCATCTCCCTGGCAGAACCACGCCTGCTCTGGGGCTGGTGCCCTTGCGACCCCCCCGCAGGCCATGGCTGCTGACATCTCCAGTGCCCCCATGACTCCATGCACCCATTTTGGTTGCCACTTTCACCCCGGGTCCCGCCTCGCGGGTGTGCCCCTCTGGGCTCCCGGGGACCCTCTGGTGGTTGGGGGCCTTTTCAGCTTGCCAGTCTGGCTGGGGCAGGCTGCACCCCCCAGGGCAGCAATCCCGTCCACCTTCCTTCTCCCTGGGCCCAAGGGGCAGAGGGCGTGGCCCCCACGGAGTCCAGGCGGTGGCCTTGGGCCCAGTTTCCCTGCTCCTCGGCTGTGCCCCCTGTGCTGCTAACATTGCCCCCCTGCGTCCTTGGCTCCTGGCAGCCTAGACGAACAGGAGGGACCAACAGGAGGGACGTGGCCCGAAGGATCCCCACGGCCGGCCCGGATGGACCGCGCCCCCTCCCCGCCTCTTCCTTCTCACCCGCTGCCGTCTCTCCCCAGGCACCTGGGTCTCTGCCCTCACCAGCGCTGACCAGCTTATGCGGGGCTTGAGTATAACTTGCCAAAATCTTTATTCTTTCGATATTTGCAGATATGTGCCACTGTTTCCAACTTTTCATCAACAAAAAGGCCTTTCCAACTCCTTCCAAATTAGAAGACCAGGTGGTGACACAGCACCTCTGGACTCTCCCCTGTGCGGGGCCGGAGGCGGGCCGGGCCCTGGGACTGCTCTCAGATGAGAAGCGGCCGCCGTGCTCCCCACTCCAGAGACCCACAGGAGCCTTTGTAACTAACCCCCACCCCCAGGGAAGGCTAGGAAGCTGGAGCCCGCGGCTGGGGGCTGCCGGGGACCAGGCCCGGCTGGACGCTGCGCCAGGCTCGCTGCATGGACAAGAAGGGAGCTCGGCCCCACGCCAGCCCGGCAACGAGGCCCAGAGGGGCGGGGTGTCCAAGCGCCCGCGGCCCAGCTGCTCCTGGGGGAGCTTTCCCGCCCCTCCCCCTCTGCTCCCTCCTGCATGGACTTCTGCGTTCCTGCTCTGCTCTGGACGCCAGCACCGCCCCCGCTTGCCTCTCCCCTCTTGGCTCCCCGTTTCCTAGGATCCGCACTGGGGCGGCTCTGCCCCAGCAGCCTGGCAGGGGTGCAGGGCCTCTTCTGGCCTCTCTCCTCTCTCTCTCCATCCACTGTGCCCCTTGGGCCACGCCGACCAGCTCGGTGCCACATGCCGCGTGGTGTCTGTGCCGCAGGCGGGCCGCTGCCCGCTCACTTCTGGACTTTGCTCTCCCCGGTTGTCGTGCCCTGTGCTCCTGGCCACTCCTCAGTGCCACTGTCCACCTCTCCTGGCCCCTTCCCTTCTCTTACACCCCAGCCCCTGGGCTGTGCGCCTCTCGCGCCCTCGGTATTCCGTGTCCTTGCTCTTTTGTAAGGGGCGGTCCCGGCTCAGTAACCTGTGCTGCTCTGTGTGGTGCCGTGTGTAAGAATAAACCCGTTGGAACACTCGTGGTCTCAGTTCCTTCCCGGTCCCGCCGCCCCGGCCCTGCCCCACTGCTAGGACCTGTCCAGGCCGAGGGAGGGCGGGAGGGCTGGGGGCCCCAGGTGGGCAGCTGTCCCCTGCAGCCCCGGGCCCCTTTAACATGCCTCTTCTTTTCTCTTCCAGTCTCGGAAGGGTGCCGACTTGGAACGGGAGAAAAAGGCCGCCGAGTGCAAGGTGGACAGTATCGGGAGTGGCCGGGCCATCCCCATTAAACAGGTCAGCACCCCTCGCCCAGGGCACGCTAGCCGGTGGTTCTTCTCTGGGACTCTGGGGCAGGGGCGATGGTGTGCGAGGCAGGCACCTCTTCCTGTCAGGCCCGGGGTTCTGCTAAGGACTAACCTCTGAGAAGGGGAGCGGGAGCCGCACTTTGGTCTGAGACTGTGGCTTTAGCCTGCAGCGGGCATAGCCCGCTCTCTGGGCTTCGCCGGTACCTCTTCACCGCCACCAGGGGGCAGCAGAAAACCACCTGCCGTCTTCGGTGGCGCTCCTGCTGGAGGCTCGGGAGTTGGGTGACCTGGAGGAAGAGACACACTGCCTGCCCTGACTACACACTGAAGGGCATACTGAGGACTGGGCTTCCCCTAGGTTGATGGCAATCTTACCCATACGAATCTCTGTTCATTTGTAAAGAAAAAACATAGCTGAGGTGTCTCTCCCTAACTCCTTTCTAAGTCACTGCCTGTCAGGGCCCCCAGACCTCCTGTTGTGGGTCCCTCTGCTGGAAAGGATTTGAATGCTGGGGGTGCCTTTGTGCAGAGGTGGAGGTGTGCTGGGCAGGGCTCTAGAACTGCTGGCTGGACAAGGGTGGAGTCAGGAGGTGGCCCTCCGGAGCTTGGGCAGGAGTCTGCAGGGTGAGGTGCCCATGAGGATGGGGCCATGGCCTGGTGGTCAGTCTGCTGTACCCTGTAGCCGGTGATTAGAGAGGTCGTGTCTGCGGGGGCGTGTTGTCAGGTTCTGACCACAGAGGAGACTGGTGTGGTCAGAGCACCAGAGCTCAGCTTGGCCAGGGCCCCGTGGTCAGGTGTGACCCTCCAGGCTGGGGCTCCTGGGGCCCATGAGCAGTGTGACCAGAATTCATGTGTGAAGGTCCATTTAGAATGGAGAGCCCAGGGCGTGTGTCAGGGTCTCAGAGGACAGAATGGGGACACTGTGTGGCTCAACATCCTTTGTTTCCGCCTCAGCCCTCCTGAGATGTCGGGGCTCTAGTTGGGTCAGTGGGGGAGGGGGGCAGCTTAGAAGGCTGAGAGGAGCGGCAGCAGCAGTAGGTCCCCACAAACCTGTTGGCTGCCCCGTGATCGCTTGTCCCTGGGGCTGTGGAAACCAAGCGCCTGCCTGGGGAGGGGTGGGGCTCTAGCCAGGCTATGGGGCTCCCGGAGGACCAGCTCTCCCTGCCTGGGGACAGGTGTTTTCTGAGTGTGTGTACACACAAACTTTTAATAAATAGTGAGAACGGGTTCCCAAGCCCTTCCTGTCTAGGGTGAAGGTGGCCAGTGATGTGTCTGTTCCCTGAACCCCCCCCATGGAGGGGAAGCCCTGTGAACAGGCACCTGGGCCCCTGGGCTGGACCCGGGCAGTCAGCTAGGTCGCCTGGGTGTTACAGGTCCCCTAAACCTCAGGGTCCCGCAGGAGGGCGGCTCCTGCGGGGAAAGAGCCCAGCACAGTCCCGGGCCTTGGACCACCCTGCCTGCTAGAGGCAGGTGCCGCAGACGCCGAGGGATCCCGCCGGGCCTGTGGGGGCGTGCCTGCCGTTGGGGTGGAGGCGTCTCCCAGCCCCGTGGGTGGCCATTTCTTCCGCTCCCCCCCCCCCCTGCCCTGGGCCGTCCAACCCTCTTCCCGCGTCCCGTCGGTCTCCCGACGCGCGCCTTCCCCTCCCCCCCGCTCCTGCTGGGAGTGGAGATTGCATTTCAGTTGCCATTTGCATTCCCAATCAATCCGGACTCCGCAATTAAGCCGGCTGGCGGAGCTGGGAGGGAGGCGGCGGCGGGAACGGGTCCTCTGGGGGCTGTCGCCTCCGCACCGCTCCCATTCCGCCCCAGATTGCTTCCTGCTCCGCCGTGCGCAGCCGGCCGGCCGGGCGGGAGCGGGAACCCCTGCCGCTCCGGCTCCCTCCTCGGCGCGCACGGCGCACGGCGGCCGGGGCAGCGGGCCTCGGGCCCTGCTCTCCGCCGAGCGGCCGCGGGCGGCAGGGGCGGGGCGTGGGCGGCAGGTCGCGGGCCCCGCCTCGCCGGCTTCTCTCCGCGAGCCGGGCGCTCCTCCCACGCCCCGGCTGCAGCCTAACGAGCTCATTACCGCCCCTCCCCGGAGGCCTCCTGGGGACTCCCGGGCTCCGGCCCGGAGGAAGGGGGGCTGCCGTGCGTGATCCGCGCTGCAGGGGACACTGAGGCCCAGGCAAAGGCATCACCTGTTCGATACTAAGGACTGGTTGGTGGCAGCAGGGGCGGGTGGGCAAAGCCCGCTCCCTTTCCCTTGGTGGCGGCTGGGGCTGGACCCGGGAGAGAGGGCAGGGCCTGGGTTCTCGCAATTTGAGAACAGGCCACTGCGGGACCTCCCAGCGAAGGCTGGGGGACAGGGGGAAGCTGCAGGGGAGCCGGGAGGCCATTTCCCAGCCCTCCCCGAGGGGAGCAGGATGAGACTGGGGGGAGGGCTGGGAGGCAGGGGAGGCCTGGGAGGGGACGGGTGCCACCCCCAGATGCAGGTTGCCAAGGCCTCCCAGGCTGACTTCCAGCCGCCCTGCCAGGGTGTGAAGGCCCCGTCACCGCCGCGTGTCTTCAGAAGCACCTTGTGAGCGTAGGGTCTCAGGCCGATGGGGACCAGGGCGTGTCCTCCGGTGGCCGGTCCTCCACCTTGTCTCCTGGGGGCGCAGCAGGAGGAGGAGGGAGGAAGGAGCGGTACCGAGGATGCGAAGTGCCTACTGAAAAGTGGGAGGACCGCCCTGGCCGGTGTGGCGCAGCAGTTAGAGCATCAGCCCACGGACCAGAGTCGCGGATGCAATTCGGGTCAAGGGCACGCGCCTCAGTTGCAGTTCCGTCCCAGGCCCTGGTCAGGTGGTGCAGGAGGCAACCCGTTCATGTGTTTCTCTCACATCGATGTTTTTTCTCTCTCCCTCCCACTTTATCTGAAGGTGAATGGGAAAATATCCTAGGGTGAGGATCTTTTTCTTTTTAAAGAAAGAAAAGTGAGAGGCGAGTGGAGGGCCCTTGCCTAGGTCTGGCCCCCCCGGGGGAGAGGTCAGGCTGGAAATCCCAGATCACCAGTTTGCTGGTCTTGCTCTGAGCCTTGTACTCCCAGGAACTCAGGGGAGATGTAATGGGATCCGGGCTCACCCCCGCCTCTTCCCTCAGGGCCATAGCTGATCCTGGAGAGACCCCCTGCTTTCTCACACCTGAACCTCTTTAAGTTTTTCAATTACAGTTGAAATTCAGTATTAAATAATTTTCAGGTGTATAGCATAGCGGTTAGACATTTGCATACCTTACAAAGATGATATTTTCTCGTGTCTCCCAGACACCGTCCATAGTTACTACAATATGGTTGCTGTACTTTACATCCCTGTGACTATTTATTAACGCCTTGCCTTTGTCACTTATCCCCCAACTCCCTCCCACCTGGTGACCACTACTTTGTTCTCTGTATCTGATCTGTTAGCTTACTTTCTCTTAAATTCCACACGTAAGTGACATCATCACACCTGAATCTCTTAGTCCCTACTTTCCTGTCTTAGAGCAGGGCCCTCCCTTCCTAAAGGAGAAGCCCTTACAGTGTCTGTCTGTCTGTCTGTCTCTCTTCCTCCCTCCCCCCATCTCTGACACCTGTTGGGATAGACGCAGAGTGCTTCCTGCTCTCTGCTCTCTCAGCCGCGCCGATCCTACTTCGTTCCTGCGTGGCCCCCAGTCTGTGGCTCTTTGTGGCTGTCCCCCTGGAGGAGTTTCGTCCAGGCATCTACAGAGCACGGCCTCTTCTCAGCCCTCCTGAGTTCGGGAGGAGGTGGCCCACGGGGGCGATGCTGGTCCCGGGGAATCTGCCACCTGTGTGCACTCAGGGCCACGCTGTCCTCTCCCCACCCCAGCTGCTGCCTTCACCCCCTCACAGTCTTGTTTCAGGGAGAGCCAGAAGCGGTCCGGGCGCCCTCAGGGTTGGCCTGAGAGGACGGCAGCGAAGGCTGCCTGAGTATGTGGTTTCCCGTCCCGCTCCCAGCCGCGGCTGGCTTCTCCCCAGCCCACTGCCAGAGGCGTCCTGGGTGTCTGCTGTGTCCCAGGCGTGGTCGCGGTGCTGAGTGTCAGTGAACACAGCACAGCAGTCCTTGCTCTCCTGAGCCCTTATCCGTCCTCGTGCTCATGTGACCTCCGTGCTCAGTGTCCCACCTGCCTCCACAGGGAACCGGGTTGCTGGCCTTTAGGGTGGGGTGTCCCCCTGCCTACCATGGGGAGTTGGGCATTCTGGGGATGGTTAGGGGAGTTTTCTGTCCTAACCTGGGGCCACCACAGAGGGTAGACCAGGGCCCACCGGAAGTGTCGGTGTCCCTGGAGAGGCCTGGCGGGCGGGAAGGGAGGAAGGACACCTCTCCCTCTGGGAGCTGGGGGCCGCACCTGCCTCTGATCCACCCTCTGTCCCCAGGGCATCCTGCTGAAGCGGAGTGGCAAGTCCCTGAACAAGGAGTGGAAGAAGAAGTACGTGACACTCTGTGACAACGGGCTGCTCACCTACCACCCCAGCCTGCACGTGAGTCCAAGGGGGGCGGGGCGCGGGGGGGCAGGAACGGAGGGACCCTCGTGAGTTCAGGTGCACTCCTGCTTGGGTTGAGGAGGACTTCCCCTTGGTGGTCTGGGAACTGCACAGGTCCCAAGACCCAGGCCTGGGCTGAAGCTCTGAGTGTGGCTGAGCCTGCTGGAGAGAACTCTCCCCTGGGCGTGTAACCCAGGCTGGGCTGGTGCGGGCACTCAGGTCCTGTATCCTATATTCTAGCGATTTGAAGAGCTGATGGGGTCAGTTTACACAGAGTGGCTAAAGTTGGGGGTGCCGACTGGGCCAGCCAGGTGTCTTGGGGCTGCAGATCTAGAGGGCAGGGCAGGCAGCGCTGGAGAATGGCGTGGGGACTTGGCCAGGTCGTCTCGGTAGGAGAGGGAGGTGGCGTTGTCTGTGGTTAGAGGGGCCTGGAAGGTGCATGGCCTGTTGCGGGGTGGGGGTTTGCGATGACTGTGGATTGTGGCTCCCCACCCTTCCTTCTTCCCCCTCCCCTCACTGCGTGGCTCCAGCACACAGCTGTCACCAGAATCCATCTCTGTCACCACCCCACTGTGGGGCTAATGAGTTCTCCTGTGAAGCTCCTCAAGCACAGCATGTGGGCCGGCCCCACCCCCGGCCCAGAGGCCCAGGGCCTGCCCCAGAGGGTCCCTCGCCTGCCTTTGGATCTGTGCAGGGCGTCAGGGAGGCCCCAGCCGAGAGGGGCTGGCGGTCCCCGGGCCCTGAAGCACGTGGAGGCGGCCCGGCGTGGGGAGGACCGGGGGGCAGTCCCTTTCCGGTCTGGCTGGAGCCCAGCCTGGCACATATTTGAGTCCTTGGCACTGGCCCTTCTCCTTGGCCCAGGGGACAGCACTAATTAGACCATTTGCCCCTGGTCTCCCTTAGTCCACAGGGTGAGAGCCGGCGCCAGCAGGCCTGGCGGCTGGAGGAGGGGCCACACTCAGGTGTCCGTGGGGATTTATTTAGTATGAAGGCTCCTTTCCCACTCCGGCCTCCTCCTCACACTCAGACCTGGTCCTGCCGCTGAGCCGCTGACACCAGAGTGCACAGGGTTACTAGGGAAGCACTGGCACTGAGGCACGGGGTCTCAGAAAGTCACGGGCGGCTGCAGGTACAGAGTCTCCAGCTGACAGAGGCCCAGGCTGGGGCTGAGCCCCCAGGAGATGCGCTCGGAACCTGTGTGGGGGTGGGGCGGGGGCCCTTAGCCTGTCCCCTTTGCTTTGTTCTTACTTGTTTCTCTGCTTCATGCTGCCTTAGCTGGCACTGTGCTGTCCCCTATGCTTGTCCCCAGGCCCCAGATTGTGGAGGGAGCCGGGGGGGGGGGGGTGCGGTGCAGGGTTTGGGTTGGGAAGGTGGGGTGAAGGCGTGAGGGAGTGGTTTTTGTTCGGAGGCTCAGGGGGCTTCGCTGGATGGTCAGTCCCCTGGCCAGTGGCTGAGCTAAGCCTTGGGTCCGGGACTTGGACTAGAGGACTCCCAGGCTGTGTGTTTGAGCCAAAAGCACGTCCCTTCGGGGCTGGCTGAGAAAGTTGCCTGAAAGTTCGCATCTGGGCAAGTGTTGCCCTGACCTACCGCCCCGAGGAGGTGGGCCGGGCTGGTGGGGGCCCCTCCCAGCACCATGCTTGTTGAACTGTGTGTAGCTTAGTGTTCAGGGCCCTGGGACAGGATCGCAGGGGCTCACCGTCCTGTCCTTGCTTCCTTGGCCCGTGTCGGTGCTGGCCCAGCACGCCAGGCCTCAGCCAGGCTGCTGCTGTCCCCGCTGCGGGACCAGGTGGAGTGGGCAGCTCCTTTGAGAGCCTGGGCTGTCAGCTCTTCACTGGCTGCCCTTTGGCTCTGGGGTCAGAGTACCTGTCCTTCCCCTACCCTGGATGCCAGGAGGAGCTGGCACACGCAGGTGGTCCTGCAGGCACTTCTCGTCTCGCTCAGAAGACACGAATGAGATTCAGGACTGTGGTGATGGTGGGAGGCTGAGTGACAGCCAAGGCAGGGCCCCGCGTGCGGCTGCGGGAACAGGGCCCGAGTTTGGTCCTAGCAGAGACTGCTTCCTTCGGGCCACCCCTCCTGCGTCTTGATTTCCTTCCTGGGTTGCCGTGAGACGCACGTGCGGCGGGCTCACCTGCCTCCATCTCCCCTTCGCCGTCTTCCCCAACCTGAGCGAGCTTCTTGGTTGCCAGCAGTGAGCGGGCACCCTGCCTCCCTGGGCGCCGCCCTCCCAGAGCTCTGCAGAGGAAGGACCCCTGGGGACTCCAGCCCGCTCCCCCCAGGACAGCTCTTGCCTGAGACCCGCAGGCAGCCGTGCTGGACTCTCCTGCTGAAGGAGGCCAGGGAGGCTGGGGAGTCGGGACGGCCATGCAGAGGAAGGCTGGTGGGCAAGCTTCGGGCCTCGTGCCCGATCCTTGCCTGGCCCAAGAGAGCCCGCCACAGCCTCCCCCATTTTGCAGCCAGCGGAGCCATTCACACAATCACCTTCTGTTAATTCTATCTGCAACATCAATTAAATTGTTTGTAGAAACTAATTGAATGTGGCTTAATCACACATCTTAATAGCTTTCCACGCTCTGAACTCGTTGTTAATTCCAGTAATAAAACGAGATGAGAACGCTGGCTGGGTAATTAGCGAGGAGGCTGGGGAAGAAATTGCTGTTTGATGGTGGGTAATAAAGGCAGCCGTGGTGACCGCTCTCCTGAGCAGCCGCCGCCACAGCCACCGCCGCGCTCCCCGTTCTGCTGACGGAGGGAAACGCCGCCGCTCCGCCCTGACGCTCTGTCCCTGCTGCTCCTGGGGCCGCGCTCCGGCTTCGGCTCTCCGCGGCATGGCCCGGGAGCCGGCCTGGCAGCGCAGAGAGCCCTTGTGGGCAGAGGCGGAGATGACGGCAGGTTCTGGCTCCTTGGCTCGAAGAGTCCCTTCGGGCAGCTCTTGTAGTTGGCGTACAGGGTCAGCTTCTCCTGCCACGTCCCAGCCCGGGCATCTCAAGGCTGTCACGGGGCCTGAAAACCGTTGCGGCTGCTGTGACCTCCTTGTGAACTAGAGCAGACCAAGCCCCTCCCCAAGGACAGGGACTGCAGCTGTGGCTTTGGCCCAGCCAGCTGTTGACAGTTGTCTGGAGCAGCGGGTCCAAGATGTGGTTGTGTGCAGGGACCCGGGATGAGTACAGGAGGGGACTCGGTCAGTATGTGCAGAAGCCGAGTCGGTGGGGTGTTGGGGCTCGGAGGCGGCAGGGCCGAGACAGTGAAGCCACACACTGGACGCTGGGCTGAGTTTGCTGGAGAAGGGACGAGAGTGGGCAGAGGGGCTCCTGAGTTCGTTGCCTTCCCAGCCACCGTGGCGAGGCTCAGTGCTGGGGACAGACGCCTGGCAGCACTCAGCAGAGCCGGGTATGAGTGTCAGAGGGTGTTCCGTGGGTGCAGACTGCTCAGTGACATCGTCCGTGGTTCTGAGGCGTGAAGCGAATGCCTTGGGGGCAGCACCGTCCCGCACAGGACTGAGCGGTAGCAAGAGGGCATGTACTCAGCCCAGTGCTACAGGGAAGGGGGCTGCTCCTCCCCGGCCGGCCAGGCCCCTCCGGGCCTTCCGAAGGCCATCTGCCCCTGAGGGGGTCAGAGCTGCTTGGAGAATAAAAGGTGACCACAGGCCAGCCAGGCCTCCCCATGGTCCCCCCACTGGTCCCCATCCTGTAGTGACATCCAGCCTAATGACAGAAGCGCAGGAGGGACGCTGGCCTTGGGTGCAGTTTCCTTGTTCTCCTCTTCCTGACTGGAAACTCCCACGTTCTCTTGGCTCCTTGGGGCCGGGTGACCCCTTTCCACTGGATGTCCTCTCAGTCATTCCCAGAGTGGTGGCAGCCCCTGCTTCCCTGAGGCAGCACCCCTGTCTTTCTTCTTTTTAAAGCAGAGGACACTGTGCTCTTCCCTGGAGCTGAGAGGTGAGGAGACAGGAGAAGGCCTGAGGGACAGAGATCTGCGGGCGCACAGTAGGAGGGTGGGCCCCGAGGCCGTGTCTGAGACGGCGCTGTGCTGCCGGGGGGCGCTCTCCGGGTGCAAGCGTCCCAGAGGTGCTCCTGAGGGAAGAGGCGCTGATGCCGAGCCTAATCAAGGGGAGTCTGCACCTGGCTTCTGCTCTCAGGGACCCCTGTGCGAGGACACGGGAACCTGCCGTCGGGGAGAAGAGACCAGAGCAATGGGAAAAGCTGGGCCCAGTGGAGACCCAGGGGCAGGGCTTGTTTTGCAGCCCCCGTGGCCGTTCCCCCGTGGGGCGCCCGGGCGAGGTGGCGGCAGCAGGGATGGAGGGGTCCGAGCACCAAGCAGCTCCCTCTCCGGGTCCCTCTGGGTCTGACTGGAAGGCAGAGTGGAAGGCAGTTGCCTTCTGTGAATAGCCTTGGGAATCGGAAAAGCCTGGGCTTGAATTCGGCTCCACCACCTTCTGCTTGTGCGACTTTGGGGCAGATCAACCTTTGTGAGCCTCAGTGTCTTCATCTGTAGAGTGGGTGGTGTGGAGGTTACGTGAGGTGCATAATATAGAGTTACGGCACAGTGGCTGCCTGGCCCCCGGCGGGAGGGGTGTGATGATGATGATGGTGTCCTCATTATGCTGGTAGACAGGGCCCACCCGCATCCGTGACACCATGGGCTGTCTGTTTCTAAGAACAGCAGAGAGAAGCCAAGGCTTCCCCGAACTGGTCGACAGTATTGTGAGGCGCTGTTCTAAGCCCTGGGGCTGTTCTGGACTGTGAAGGTTCTCTATGCTCAAGCGGTGGGCGAGCCTCTGCAAACGAGGCAGAAGTGCTTGGTGACCAGCCACCCAGAATCGGGGGAACCTGCCTCCTGGGGAGTCTGTCGGTTCCTCTTGACCACATGGGCCCTCTGGCCCTAAATCCCATCGTGTCCAATACTTGGCCTCCTTTGCTTTGTCTCCCGAGCCATCGCCCCGAAGGGGGCCTGAGCCTCAGCTCCTGGCTCCAGACCCCTCTCTCTCCCCTGACTCTGCCCCGCTCCTGGCTGAGCCCCAAGCTGCATGCGGTCAGCATGTCGATGTAGGTGTCATCAGACTTGGGGATATTCCGTGGGACTCAGTCCTCTTTACCCCCGAGCTGTCCCTCCCTGTGCCTCCCGAGGCGGCTCAGTGGAGACAGACTAGGAGCCGAGAGGGTCGGTGCCAGACACACAGCTGCCGAAGAAGGACCTGTCCTAACGGCCGGCTGTCCCGCCCACATGCCCCAGGATTACATGCAGAACATCCACGGCAAGGAGATCGACCTGCTGCGGACCACCGTGAAGGTGCCAGGGAAGCGCCTGCCCCGAGCCACGCCTGCCACAGCCCCCGGCACCAGCCCGCGGGCCAACGGGCTGGCCTTGGATCGAAGTAACACACAGCTGGGCGGGGGCACAGGTGAGGGGGCTGCGTGGGTGGGCGGGGCCTGGGGAGGGCGCTCGGGGGCTTCGCTCCTCAGCGGGGTCCTGGGGGCTCCCAGAGGGTCTGGGAACGCTGCCCGGTGGAGTTAGAGGTAGCAGCCGATGGGGAGGGCAGAATGCAGCCAGAGAGCCTCATGCTGACCGGTGGCTTCAGCAGTCCTGGGACCCTGTCTCAAGGCAGGCGATGGTGGGGGCAGGACCGTGGGCACACGTGCCATGGGGGGGGGGGCTGGAAGGGGACAGAGCTGCTGCCTGGGCCCACCTGGCAGTGTCCTCAGCCTAGAGGTGGGGTCTCTCCAGACTGCAGCGTGGCCACGGTCTGGAAAGGAGAGCTAGCGCCCAGAGTCTGAGCTTGGGGGGGGCAGCTCTTCCTCGGCCTGTCCTCCCCTTTGCGGGTGGCGCTGTGGGCGCGGCGAGATGCCGTCTGCCTCCCTCGGCCCTCCAGCTGTAGGCCACGTTGCTGTGGAGGGTTCCCCCGCTCGCCCCAGACCTACCTTGGCTTCTGGACCCTGCGTCCCAAGGCCTGTCCCTAGTGTTGGTCTAGGTCATTGGCCTAGGAACCGGCTGTCCTGACCTACTGGGTGCCGCTGTGTCCCTGCCCCAGGGTTAGCTCTCAGCATGGGGGAGCTGCCGTCCCCACAGATGTGGGTGTTTCCGCTGGCCACAGTGGACATGCAGTAGACGGGGCTGGGACACTTAGTCCCTGGAATGGATGGGACACAGCCTGAAGAGTTGCCCCACTCAAAGTGCTGATAAGGCCTCACACTGAGCAACTCGGATCAAGGGAAGTAGGTGGGATGACAGTCTCCTGAGTCTGTTCCTCGTTTGAGGTGAGGGTCCTGAGCACCGGGCTCCTGCCCTGGGAGGGGCTGGGGGCACTGACGTCCGTCCACCAAGCGAGGAGAGCCAGGGGCAGGAAGTCTATGTTGCACCCTGTTTCCCAGCTCTGTGAAGTTGAGGTCATCCTGTTTTACGGGTGAGGAAATAAGGGCTCGGAGAGGTTACAAAACTTGTCTGAAATCCCACAGTAAGGGGGAGAGCTGGGGTTTGAACTGTGTTCCTGACTTGAAAAGCTATGTTTTGCCCTCCGCCCTTGAGCGAAAGAAGCCCTTGAGCTGTGCAGAGGGAGCCCTAGTGGACAAGGCAGGAAGGAAGCTAAGGCAAGCAAGACAAGCACTCATCATGGGGGGGGGGGCTCCTGTGGGGGTGCACTAGGGGAGCGTCCGGTTCAATGGTAAAGACGGGAGGCCATGTGCAGCCCCAGTGCAGTGCCTGGAGGGTAGGTCAGGGTTGCAGGGAATCCCTGGCTGCAGGGGAGGGGGCTGGAGGTCAGGCCCAAGGAGCTCTCCCAGAGCTGCTTGGGGACAGTGAGTGCCAGCCTGTGCTCTGGCTCAGGGTTTCCCACATGGTACCAGAGGAGGAGGGAGTGTAAGTGCCCCGACGGGGAACCTTTCCTTAAAGGCAGGTAGCAAAAGAAGCTGGGCTGTTACCGCAAAGAGAGGAAAACAAGACCCTCTGCTCAGTCACATTCCTGAGCCCTGACAGCTTCGCCTGGGGAGCAGAAGGGAGACGCATCACACTCACCTGCATCATTACCAGCGCCCACAGCCCCTTGCCGACATCCCCAGAACACGTGGACCAGCATCTACCCAAGCCCGCGTCCCCTCCGCTGCACGCTGACACCGACCTCGTGCACACTCACACATGTCTCCCGCTCACCGGGCGATGTTAACATCTCATTATCTTTGTTACTGTAATTACATTATCCGCTGCTTTATGCAGAATTATCCTCCGAGGACTAATTGATGGCTCCATGTTTAATTCATTAATCATTAGCATCAAATTCGACAATTACAGTGCACACTGATTGTGGGATTGCAGGCGTAATGAGGGGAGAATTAACAAAGAAAAGGGAGAGTACTTTTTCCTCCCTGGGGTTTTGGGTTGGGGGCTTGGGGAAGGTGGGCCTGTGATCTTTGGGTGGGGCTGGGGAGGAGGGAATAAGATTTGGAACCAAGGAGGTGGGGGAGAAGCAAGGTGTCTGAGAAGTTAGGAACTGAGCTGCTCCCCTGGAAGGTTTCCTGACCCTGAGAAAGGCTTTGCAGGGACCTGAAGCCAAAGCGGGAGGGGGCGGGATTCTGAACAGGAAGGTCAGCACGTTGCCTTGGGGGGCCTGGAAACTGCAGTTTCAGCGCCACGTGTGTATTAATAAGCACCTACTGTGTGCCTGGTCCTGCCTTGGGTGTTATGACATACAAGAGAAACACAAAACGTGCCCTTTCGGTGTCATGCTGTCCCCAGAGGACGAGGGTGTTTGGTCTGTCCCTTCTCCTTCTAGTGGCTTCTGCTCAGACCTTCCCATCCCCAGGTTTCCAGAAACAGCCTGTGTGCTCGCAGGGCTGGTTTGCGGCCTTGTGTTTGCTGCCTGCTCTCTCTAGCTTTGTCCAGCTCACAGGCCCTGTGCTTCCATGCTAACCTCCAACACCTAACCAGGTCCTGCTTTCCGTCAAACCCCTCGGGTGTGGCCCACTCATGCTGAGACCTCCTGCAGCCTCTGCCCTCTGGCCTCTGTCCCAGCCTGTCCTAGGTGGACCGAGGCAAGAGGGCTGTGGAGGCCCCTTAGTGTCACGGGCTCTGAGGTCCCGGGCTGTCCCCAGCAGTCTCTCCACGTGGCTCAGTGCCTGGGGGAAGGCACTGTGTCTGAGGCGCGTGTGGCCTACCTGCCCGGCCTGCACTCCTGGAGCCTTCGGTTCCCCTCGGCTCTGCTGCTCTTCCCTGATGGGGAACGAGAGATTAATATTTTCCAGCCCAACAGGATAATTACTAATACTAATTAGACATAATTACTTGAATCTGATACACTTATTTCTCGTCAGAATGGCAGCAACACTGAGGCAAAGCAGATGGCATGTGTGGACTAGAATGTAGGGTGCAGGACTCTCACCAGGAGAGAGGGGCTGGGGATCACGGCTAGATGATGGGGGTGTCAGTACCACTGCCCACATTTCTGGGTGCTAGGGAGGGACAGGTGTGCATCTCCTTGTGCATGCAGAGAGGAGGGGCGTGAAGTCTGGAACTGGCTGCTTCCTAAGGCGCGGAGGGCCCATGTGATGCCTCCAGTTCCCCACTAAGCCTGGCCCCATACCTGGGACCCAAGACCCCTTAATTTCTGGTCAGCCTCCGGTTGGAGTGTCTCGGGCTGTGCCCACAGCCCTGTTTCCAGGAAAGTCTATGTGCACCTCCCCTGGCCTCCCCTCCCAGTCTGACCCTTCCCCCTCCCCAGGTGCCCCCCACTCAGCCAGCAGTCCGGCCTGGGCTGGCCCGCGCCCCGAGGGGCTGCACCAGCGCTCCTGCTCCGTTTCCAGCGCCGACCAGTGGAGTGAGGCCGCTGCCCTGCCCCCAGGTATGCAGCACCTGGCCAGGGGACAGAGGAAGGCGGCATGCATTGTGTCTGGCCTGGGTGGCTCTGATTGGATGGTGCCCAGGCGAGGGGCGGGGCCCAGCGGAGCCCTCAGGGCCTGTGTAAAGGCCCCACCCTTCTCCCATCTCCAGTGAGCTTCCTGCCCCAGGTGAAGACCCTCCCTCTGCAGCGGCTCTGCCGGCCCGCCGCTGGCCCCAGGCAGCGCTGGTGGCAGCTCCGCAGCCCATCAGCCCCCTGCGCAGCCAGCTCATCAGCCTCACTGCGGGGGGGCAGGGAAGCGGGCTGAGTAGGGAGGTTGAAGGCTGGGGCCTTTAAACATCTTCTGAAGGTGGCAACTGCCGGCAGGGAGGGGGGTGGTCCCCCGCAGACAGGATCCAGGGAGTTGTCCAGACAGGTAGTGTCCCCACCCGTCCCCTCTCCTCTTTGGACAGGTTGAGGCCTCGCCCTGCCTAAAACCACCCTCCTCTCCTCCATTCCACCCTCCTCTTTCCTTGGCTCTTTATTTTCTTCCCTCTGTCCATCTTTGTACCTTGCTTGCATCTCAACTCTTCTGTGTGCGCGCGCGTGGTACACACACACACACACACACACACACACAGCCCCTCTCTCTCCTTACTCTCTCCGTATTCTAAGCCTTTGGGCACAGATCCTGGGAGCAGTTCGGAAGGTCTCAAGGAAAATGGGTGCGACTCTGCCCTCCTTTCCCAAGTGAGGGTGTAAGAGGGAGGAGACCCCAGGCCGCCAGGGGGTGGGCAGCAGCCCAGGCAAACCTGCCTCCCCCTGCCCCCCACCCCCACTGGGCAGTAGTGCCTTGTGCATTGACTTCTCCCCCTACTTGCCTCCCGCCGGCCTCTCGCAGGGCTGCCCTGTCCGGGCTGCCCATCCCAGGGAAGTGCTGCCCCCTGGCTTGGGCTCTGAGGAAGGCAGTGGGCACCCACAGCACTGGGGATCCGTCCAGCTCCAGCTCCACCCACGTCCAGTCCCTGAGGGAGGGAGTGCAGGGCCTGAGAAGGGAGCCAGAGCCCTTCCTCGGTCGCCATCCCCGGGCCTCTCCGGGCCTTGATGGGGCCCCTCTGTTGAGTCTGGAAGGAGGAAGGCAGGGAGGGAGGGAGCGTGTCTGCCTTTAATGAAGTTTGACATTTAGTGGTGAGCGCCGGGCGGGGTGTGGGAGACGGGAGCTTGATTAGCGCGCTCTAATTGACAGTAATTAGGCAGCTCCCTGATTGTTTCTAATTCTGCTATTAATTGTGAGGAGCGGGGAGTGTGATTGAGGATAAATTTGGTGCGGAGCTGCTGGGGCTTCAGCTCCCTGAGTTCCCTGGGCCGCCTTCCACCCCTCCAGGCGCAGAAGCCAACGTTCCCACTTCACCTTTATTCTGCTCTGCCTGCCTTTCCTGTTCTCCTCTCCCCACCTTCTCCTCCCCCGGGCTGGCAGGCTGTGAGACTGGGGGCTGTCTGGGCAGGCGCGCACCCAGGGTGGCGCTCCTAGGGGCGCGAGGCAGGACTTTGCCCTGCCCCCACACTCCCCTCTGCCCACACTTCTCCAACTCTCCCCTCCCCAGCCAGTGGCCCAGCTGAGGTGCTCGGTTCCAGCCCCAAGCTGGAGCCTCCCCCATCTCCCCACTCCAACCGGAAGAAGCACTGGAGGAAAAAGAGCACCGGGACCCCCCGACCAGACGGCCCCAACAGTGCTGCCGAAGGTTAGGGGGACCCAGAGGGAAACTGGGGCACAGGAGGTGGGCAGTGGGAATTGGGGACAGTACCCTGAAAGTATTAGGTTCAGCACTTTAGTGAGTCCCCGTGAGAGTTCCGCCACTTCCTTTGGTAATCTACACCTGGTGTCAGGAACGCTTCCTGCTGCCTAACTTCACCCTCTCTGTGAAGACGTGAGCTTGCTTTTGCCTCTCATTCTCGTGGAAGGTAAAGACCACAGGCGGCTACTCCAGTAGCTCTTACAAGACTTGCGGAAAAGCGGGACCTGTTTTCTGTGTCTCTTGTATCACCCATTGAGTTTAATGAATGCTGGGCACATAGTAGGTGCTTAATACATGTGGACCGATGGGCTGAGTCTCTCCTCAGCTGCAGGCTAAGGGATCCCAGCTCCTCATCTTCCATAGGCCCTCTCACATCATCCTTTGTCCATCTTAGTACCACTTCTCCGGTTTTTCCTAAAGTGTCTTCAGAACGTCCCTCTACTCAGTGGTTGGAATTTCTCTGACATTGACGCCTAGTCTGTCATTTCTGTTCTGATTGTCAAGGTTAGGAGTGTGGGTAAGTGGACAGACGACCTCTGTGGGAAAGAGCCACCTTTGCCAGCCACCCCGGTGTGCGATGGATGATGTTTGGCGTTCATGTAAAGGGTCCACCTGTCCCAGGGAACTGAGCCCCAAGGGATGGCAGTGATACAACTCCAAGGCTGGGCTGAAGGCGGGGTGAGGAGGAACTGAGCGCAGGGAGAGAAGGCGCAGTCTTCTAGGAAGGCAGTTCTGTCCAGGGCGCCCAGCAGGGGTCCAGCAGACGTCTTCTAGGGCATGTGTCGTGAGGCGAGAGGCTGCCCTGGGCGGAATACGTGGCCATGGTTTCAGCCTTGGGCCTCCAACAGGTCCCCGAGCTGTCTCTCCAGAGCCCACAACACATTCTCACTGCTTGTTAGGAACTGTTCACCCGTGGGGCAGTGACCACTGGGAACGAGATTCCTGTGGCTGTCTTCTGAGGGAGAACTGGGAACAGCTGGACCACACTGCCTGAGGTCACAGTCCAGCCCACAGTGCTGTCACTGCAGATGTCCTCAGGTCCCTGTCTGCTCACACATCCCCGTTCGTAGCGCAAACCTCTCCTCTCCCCATCCACTTGCCCTTCCTGTCTGTGTATGCCAGGGGAGTGGGGGAGGGGCCCAGCTCCCAGGAGCCCCACGCTGACGCCATCAGGAATATTGGGTTTAATGAGCTGCAAAATGAGGCGGCTGCAGCTGACATGTACGGATAGTGCCCACACCCGCCTCGCCCACCCTCTCCCAGCATTGCTGCCTCGCACCCCACCGCATCCTTCTCCAGATACTCGGCTCTTGTTGCTCCAGGAAGCACCTCTCTGATCCCCAGCCCCACTGCTGCTGTGCTGAAACCTTGGGCCCCCCTCTGTTTTCACCCAGGCTCCACAGGTGGTTAGGAATGGAGGGCGGAGGCACCACAAACTCTGGCAAGCTTACTCCCTCCCACCTTTCAGGTTGCCCTGGAGAACGCGGTCCTGGAGGCTGGGGTGGGGGAAGGAAGGTGGATGCCAGGAAAGCAGGGGGTGAGTGGAGTTGTGGCACGTCTTGGGGTGTGCCTGCTGTGACGGTGGTAAATGCTGCGTCCCCCACAGAGGCGGAGGAGTCCTTTGAATTTGTGGTGGTGTCCCTCACCGGGCAGACGTGGCACTTCGAGGCCTCGACAGCGGAGGAGCGGGAGCTGTGGGTACAGAGCGTGCAGGCCCAGATCCTCGCCAGCCTGCAGGGCTGCCGCAGCGCCAAGGACAAGGTTGGCACAGAGGCCTGAGTGGGGTGGGATCCAGAGGTGGCCCCGTGTCTGACCGGCCACCCCTGTCTCTCCCGCTGTGGCAGACCCGACTGGGGCACCAGAATGCGGCTCTGGCCGTGCAGGCCGTCCGCACCGTCCGTGGCAACAGCTTCTGTATCGACTGCGACGCCCCCAGTGAGTGGCAGGGCCGGGTTGGCCGGGCTGGGCCTGGGGTGGCTTGGAGAAGGCTTGACAAGAGGCTTCCGGTGGGCCCGGGAGGAGGGCAGGGAGGAGGAGGAGGACTTCGCGGGTGGTCTCACGGGTTGCCTGTGGGCTTCACTGTGCTTCCTCTCCTTACCTAGATCCAGACTGGGCCAGCCTGAACCTGGGTGCCCTGATGTGTATCGAGTGCTCAGGGACCCACCGACATCTCGGGGCTCACTTGTCCCGGGTCCGTTCCCTTGACCTTGATGACTGGCCACCTGAGCTGCTGGCCGTCATGACAGCCATGGGCAATGCCCTGGCCAATAGTGTCTGGGAGGGAGCCCTGGATGGATATGCGAAGCCAGGGCCTGATGCGTGCAGGTGAGTACATGGCACCCTGAAGTTGACCAGGGAGGGAGGGGACATCAGTGTTCCTGTTTGGGGATGATCGGGAATGGTGCCACGTGGCTGTGACAGTAGGAGAAGGGTTAAAACTGGCCGTTGCTGTGCTTGGCAGTTTGGCCCCTTGGGGTTCCCCTCCCCCTCTCTGCCTGTCACTCAGGCGCCGCACAACAACAGGCCCTTTCTGAGTTGTTATCAGCAGGTCAGGGGGCCAGCAGGAGGCGCATGCGCAGGGCCCTATCTGCACTGTGGTGCGAAGGCCCTAGCCGAGCTCCGAGATGGGGAGAATGGGTGGTAGATAGGGTGGTGGTGGCCCCCAGCACTGCCTCCTGTCCCCTTTGTTCTAGCAGGGCCAGATAAGCCGCCACACAAGCCTGCCTGGAATCTTCCTGCCCTTCCGCCCCTACATCCCTGCTGCCCCCAGGGGCCTCCCTTCAGCGGTCTCCCTTCAGCTTCTCCCACACCTTTGCGTGCCCACTGCCCCTCCGTGTGCCCCATCTCTCAGGCTTCTTTCTCTGCCCTGACACTTTCTCCCGCCGTTGCTTCCCTGTTCCCCTTCTGGATGTTGATGTCGTTCCTGACCACCCTCCCGGCCCCGCCCGCGCTCATGCCTCGATGGACCTGTGCTTTCAGAGAAGAGAAGGAGCGCTGGATCCGGGCCAAGTACGAGCAGAAGCTCTTCCTGGCCCCGCTGCCGAGCTCGGACGTGCCGCTGGGGCAGCAGCTGCTCCGGGCCGTGGTGGAGGACGACCTGCGGCTGCTGGTGATGCTTCTGGCACACGGGTCCAAGGAGGAGGTGAACGAGACCTACGGGGACGGGGACGGGCGGACAGCTCTGCACCTCTCCAGCGCCATGGCCAATGTCGTCTTCACACAGCTGCTCATCTGGGTGAGTCCCGCGCCCCCCTCGCCTTCCCAGCCCCACCCCAGCCGGCCTCTCCGGCCTGGCCTGACACCCGTTTCACCCCAGCCCTTTGGAAGCCACCTCTCCTGTGTCTCCCCAAGAACGTCTCTGTCATGCCAACTGTGAAAACACACTTTTTCCTGCAGTACGGCGTGGACGTGAGGAGCCGGGACGCCCGGGGCCTGACTCCCCTGGCCTACGCTCGCCGCGCCGGCAGCCAGGAGTGCGCAGACATTTTGATCCAGCACGGCTGTCCCGGGGAGGGCTTAGCACCTACCCCCAGCAGAGAGCCTGCCAACGGCACCGCTGCCTCCGCCGAGCTGCACCGAAGCCCCAGCCTCCTCTAAGGCACAGGAGGAGGGCGGAGAGGCCAGGACTCCAGACCCCGGGCCCTCCTCCCTGCAGGCACTGAGGGAAGCGAAGACAAGGAGACTGAGAAGCAGGGACGCGAGGAAGGAAGGAGGAGAGGGGAGCAGGAGGCGGGGGTGGCTGGGGTTTGAGCTGGCAAGGGGACTGAAGAGGCCTCGCCTTCTGCCCTGCGGTGCCCGTGAGAACGGACAGGACCCTCTGGAGGCGCCTGAGGAGAGGGGAGCAGGGCCTCTCCCTCCTACCGATTCCTGCTCTCGAGTGCCAGCCCCCTGGGAGCCTTCATCCCAAAGCGGAACCTGGAAAGCACAGGTTGGGGGTGCTGGGTAAAAGATTGGGGGGTTGGGGGATCTGTGGGTCTCATGTAAATTTGTACATTGGAATATTTATGTTTGTGTACATATTTGGTGTGTGTGTGTGTGTATGATGAGCCAATAAACCAGACAGTGTGTGGTCTTGCTTCCCCCTTGAATGTCTCTGCCCTTCCCAAATGCTCTCTCCTGTCCCTCATGGCCCTGTCTTCTCGCTTGTGCTGTCTGTCCTCTCGGTTAGTCTGGGGCCCAGCCGTCTCCCAGCCTTCCATGTGAGTCTCTCGGCCTCTCTTGCTGTGGGCGCACTGTTAGTCAGCAGCACCGGCCGTGGATCCGGACAGGAGGAGCTCTGGAAGCTTCCTGCAGCATTCTCTACGCACACACCCCCAGGACTCGTCCAGCTAGCCTTACTTCATCAGTATTTCATCCAGTAACCTCCTGCCACGCCCTGTGCTGGCCAAAGTTCACTCAAAGAGAGGGTGTAAGCACTGCCCCCCTTCCTAAGGGTCTGGGAAGTAGTGCCTTTGCTTTTGAGGGGAGGGGAGGCGGTAGGTCACTGATGGCAGAAGAGTCCTCTTGATGCCCACCATCTTGCCAAACGGGCAGAATCCAGGGCCTCTGCTTTTCCCTCTATCCCTTAGTTATGCCAGAAAGAAGATCTAGGGGAAGCCCCCCCATACCTATTCTTGAAGGATGAAGGATGAGAACCTGCTAAGTTAGGGTCCCTAACTTTGTCCACCAATGCCAGTCCTTAATTTGCTCCTAGAAATCCAACCCCAGCCCTGGCCGATTTGGCTCAGTGGTTAGAGCATCGGCCCGCGGTCCAGGGGGACTCAGGTTCGGTTCCCTCTAAGGGCACATGCCTCGGTTGCAATTTGTCCCTGGCCCTGGTTGGGGTCATGTGGATGGCAACCACTTGATGTGTCTCTCTCTCTTCCTCCCGCTCTATCTGAAGATGAATGCAAAGAATGTCCTTGGGTGAGGATTAAAAAAAAAAGAAATTCAACCCCAAAGCCTCATTCCTATCTCCATAGCTTCCCCCATAGTACATACCCTTCCAGAACCATCATAGATTCTTTCCTGCCTCCTCCACTTTGCTGTGGGCCTTCTCAACCAATCTCAATAGAAGACAATCTGGTATCCCGACCTTCATAAACACTGTGGCAGGGAGACAGAGACCACAGTGAATGCCATAATAAACAATTGGGAATGTGTCTAACTCCAGGCCCTTGTGTCTGGGACACAAGTGATGGCAGGTGCACTAAGCTGCTGTGTCCTCTACATAAACAAAGATTAATGAGCTCACAGGTGATGAGGGTGAGCCCCTGGCCTGCCCCAGTCACTAACAAACTCAAACTGCTAAATAACCTCTACCTAGTTAGGGGGCCTGGACACACCCAAGCTAAACTATGGCCAAGTACTTCATTTCCCCTTGTAATACAATGTGAGTCCTCTATCCTGAAGTCTGCCAACTCTTCCCAAGAACAAAGCAGAGATGACGAAGCTTGCCTGTTTAATAGGTGGAGAGAAAATTGCCACATTAGGAGCATGAGGTCTAGAGGTGCACAGTGGGCAGACCCCCAGCTGGGAAAGGACAGACGTGGAGGTAGTTTAGATGAGAGGAGGTGGTGTGTTGTGAGTTTTTTTTTTTTTTTTTTATCCTCACCCGAGGACATTTTTCCATTTTTTTTTGTTCAGGTAGAGTGGGAGGGAGAGAGAGGAACAGAGAGAGAGAGAGAGAAACATCGATGTGAAAGGGACACATCGAGTGGCTGCCACCCGCACGACCAACCAGGGCCGGGGACAAACTGCAACTGAGGTATGTGCCCTTAGCGGGAACCGAACCCGGGTCTCTCCGGACCGCAGGCCGACGCTCTAACCGCTGAGCCAAACCGGCCAGGGCGGTGTGTTGTGAGTTTTTAAGGAAGCTAGTGACGGTTCCATTTCGTTTCTTTGCATGTCCTTGTATTATAGACAGGCAAGACGGTAACCACTCCAGAGCATTAAGATGGAACTAGACTCTGGTTGAGTATTGAGGAAACTTTCCCAGGCCCTCTCAGGTGCAGGCAGACAGACAGACAGACGCAGATATGTCCGTATATACAAACTTTACACAAAATAAATAAGGAGTTGTGATCAGCTTGGCTGGCCATCACCCTGGATCCTCCCCACCCTTGTCAGAAATGATTCCAGGAACCTTTCAGGCCCCAGGCATTTTAGAACCCACTGCCTCCCAGGAGTCTCCCCGGAGTCCACCTCAGTCGCAACAGCTCCTGGGCAATGAGAAAGAACCCAAGCCCCTTTAACCCTGAGCCTCAGTCCTGAGGTCTCTGGAATAGGCTCAGGGTCAAGTGCCCACATCTCAGGTTGCCAGGAGAGCACACCTGGAGCTAAGTGAATTGCCAACTGAGCCCCCTGCCAGGGCAGAATCACAGTGGTAGCCCCTCCTGTCCACAGGACCCTGATCCAGTCTCAGAGCAGGCTCTGAAGTCCTCCAGAGCCCCTTCAGGGCCGGGCCCCCTGCTCCATTTGTTGGTGCTGGCTCCGCACCGCGAACCTGTTGACGTGCACAGGTATGGGCACGACAATCTTGGGGTTTCTTACGGGCTCTCCAGAACGGCTGCTGACATTGCCAGCTTTGATGCGCTTCCACTTGGCCCTCCGATTCTGAAACCAGATCTTGACCTGCACCTCACTGAGCTTGAGGGCGTGGGCGATCTGGGACCGCTCTGTTAGGCTCAGGTATTTCTTGCAGTGAAACTCCTTCTCCAACTCCAAAAGCTGCTCACTGGTAAACGCCGTGCGGCGCCTTCGGCTCTTGCCCCCGGGAGCTGTGACGCCTGCTGCCGCCGGGGCTGCCTCCTCAGCTCCAGTCCCCAGGCTCCCCTTTAGCTTCGGTTTAGGGGCCAGGAGAACCCCCGGGCCCCCAGCAGAACTGTCCAGGAAACCGTCGTCCTCACTGTCACCGCCTGAACCCTCTTCCTCCTGTTCGCTGCCTGCTGGGTCTCTTGCTGGTGCCTCCAGCTTCTCCTCATCTGAGCTGTACACCTTCCCCTCTGTGGGGGGCGAAAACCAATGGATGGGGGGGGGGGAGAAGGCACGTGGAACCATGACCAGGCATGGCCAGAATGACAGCAGGCAGAGGTACAGATGTGGAGGGGTGAGATGGGGAGGGAGGGTGAGGGGTGGAGAAGAGGTTCAGGAAGACAAAGAAATGGGAAGAAAGGTATTAACCAGCACAGATTTCACTACAGCCAAGTGGAGCAGGCAGCAAGTGTCTGTCAAAGGAACCCCATTCCTAGGACTGTATCCCCTCAACATTCCCACACCCCACCTCATTCTGCCTACCCACTACTTTCCCAGTTTTCTCCAAACCCAGATCACGCAGCCTCAGGCCCGAGTAAAGCAGTATGGGACCTGGTTTAGGATCCGTTCAGTTACTGTGGCAGGAGTGAGCGATATAGGAGAATATACTTTCGCAGGACACGGGGGAAAGGGGGGCTGTTGGCCTCCATTATTCTAGGAACCCTAACCGACCCGGTGGGAAGAGCTGTGTGTTGACCTCTCTCCCCTCTTTCTCTCTTCTTTAGATCTAGAATCTAGAATCTCATTTCCAGATGGGAACTTCAGGGTCATCTGATTCCCCATCCTTACCCTTATCTCCAAAATCTGGGTCCAAGAAGTGTTATCCAATGACCTAGGAGTCAGAAGTTTTCCCTACTGCACCCCCTTCCCAATTCTCCTTAACCAGACCCCCAGGCCTCCATGGGGAACCCTCCCAGCCACATGCCACCTTATCAGTGACCAGATTTTTCTTTGAACTGCTTAGTCCCCGTAGGCTCCTCTCAGTCCTTTTCTTTATTTAAAAATGATGTGATTGCTTCCCCGCCTTCCCTCTTTCCCGTTAAGGTTGCTGAGCAGCACCAACATCTGCTTTCCGCCTAAGTTCAGAATCCTGAGGACCCTGAGCTTGATGTCAGCTGGGAACATGCAGTGAATATGGGAAGAAATAGGAATGCAACAAGGGAAAATATAGATGGTGAAAAAGGAATTTTGACTCATTTAGTAGATTACTACTGATTATTTGTAATCACAGCCATATAAACATTTTAACCCATACATAATTCTGAAATTTAATTAAACCATTGGTTTTATTCTTTCTATCCCCTGACATGTTTATTCTTCTTATACTGCAAATAATGCATTATAAATGTTTTCAGTGTTTGAGTTTTACAAAATCCCTTGTTTTCTGCCCAAAAGACCAATAAGTAGTAAAACAAACAAACAAACAAACAATATAAAAAGAAAACCAACCAATAGGAAAGAGGAGAACATGAATAATCTGTAAACTAATAAGTTAGCTCCTTACCCAAAGAGTTCCATGTGTAAAGGTGGGGGCACTTCACAAACGTGGGAGCGCATGTATCTACACCCACCACCTGTCACAGGTACACTCATAAGCACACTGCGAGGTTGAGAATACAACCCAAAGCCATCTAACTCCAGGGAACGGCGAAATGCTGTGTAAGAAAAAGGGGTTTGCACGTGTACACACGGTTAGAAACCCTCCCGGGACTTGGAGCGTACCCGCCGCTCTTCTCTAGCCCTCTCCATCGTCTTCACGCCAGCAAGAACCTCTGAGGGCCTCCAGGAGCAGCCTGGCAACTTCCTATCCCCTTCCCCATCCCAGAATTGTCCCTTATCCCTTCACTGATGCAATCTACACCTGTTCCTTTTCCATAAGAACCACCTTGATACCCTTAGAGGCCAGAATCCTTGACCCACATCTAGATCACCACTTCCACCTCAATCAGCTTCTTCACACCTCCAGGGTATTTTTATCTCCCGGGCCAGCACCTTTTCTCCCTGTAGTGCTTTGGGTGGTGGTGGTGAATCCTCACCTGAGGATACTTTTTCCATTGATTTTTAGAGAGAGGGGAGGGGAGGGAGGGAGAGGGATACAGAAACATCTATGTGAGAGAGACACATCAACTGGTTGCCTACTACACACGCCCCAACTGGGGCCAGTGATCAAACCTGCAACTCGGGTACATGCCCTTGAATGGGAATCAAACCCAAGACCCTTAGGTGCGAGGCAGATGCTCCAACCACTGAGGAACACCAGCCAGGGCAATAGTATTTCATTATCTAACTTTCTCAAAACCTGTGTGGCACACCCCCGGTTAGGCTCGCCTAGGCTTCCTATGCGACTCTTCATTGCTTTTCACCAGCAAGCGGCCTCCATTCCCTCCCTCACAGCCGGCCACACTTCAGAACACCCAGCTCTGTTGTATTACAAGGTGCTCCACCAACATGCACCTCTCATCACCCCATGCTTTCTCCCTTATCTCATCCCTAGCCAAATCCATTTTATTTTCTGCAAGATTCACATCCTTGGTTTCCTTCATTTCACTAAGGGCTTCCTCATACTATTTCCATTTTCCACTTCCATGTCCCAAACTGAACTTGTGACCTTCCTTCCAAGCTAGTTCTTCCCCATCTGCACCCACGTCTCTGCCATCTTGGTTAATGGTAAATCCATCCTCCCTGTTGTTCAAACCTTTACTCGCTCTCACAACCCAGGCCCAATCTACTAGCAAGTCCTGGTATTGTTGCTGCCTTTAAAATACATCCAGACCACCCTGGCCGGTTTGGCTCAGCAGTTAGCGCATCGGCCCACGGATCAATGAGTCACGGGTTCGATTCTGGTCAAGGGCATGTACCTTGGTTGCAGTTTGTCTCCAGCCCAGTCAGGGTCGTGTCAGAGGCAACCAGTCAATGTGTCCCTCTCACATCAATGTTTCTTTCTCTCTCCCTCTCCCTCCCTCCCACTCTATCTGAAGATAAATAGAAAAATGTCACCCTGGCCGGTTTGGCTCAGCGGTTAGAGCGTCAGCCTGAGGTCCACAGAGACCCAGGTCTGGTTCCCGCTAAGGGCATGTACCTTGGTTGCAGTTTGTCTCCGGCCCTGGTTGGGTCGTGTGGGCAGCGGCCACTCGATGTGTCCCTTTCACATCGATGTTTCTCTCTCTCTCTCCCTCTCTCTCCTTCCCGCTCTATCTGAATAAGAAATGGAAAAATGTCCTCGGGTGAGGATAAAAAAAAAAGTAAATAAATAAAAAGAAAAATGTCCTCGGGTGAGGATTAAAAATAATAATAATAAATACAATTTATTAAGGGGGTGAAAGTGGGGAGGAGGGGGTCAATGGGGGAAAAGGGGGACATCTGTAATACTTTCAACAATAAAAAAACAAAGTGAAAAAAATAAAATGCAGATAACAGCCACTATAAATAAATACAATAAAATACACCCAGATCCTACCTCTTCTCGCCACCTCCTCCGTCTCCAACTAGTCCAGGTCACCATCATGTCTGCCCTGGTTCGCTGACACTTTCTCCAAACTGGTCTCTCTGCTCGGCCTTCTCCCTCCCCCAGGGTCTGCTCCCTGGAATACTATACACACTTATCACCTAGAGTTTTGCACTGGCTCATTTCCTATCTCCTTAGATTTTTACTTTATCACCTTTTTATTTATTTTTATTTTTTTTTTTATCCTCACCCGAGGACATTTTTCCATTTTTTGTTCAGGTAGAGTGGGAGGGAGAGAGAGGAACAGAGAGAGAGAGAAACATCGATGTGAAGGGACACATCGAGTGGCTGCCACCCGCACGACCGACCAGGGCCGGGGACAAACTGCAACCGAGGTACGTGCCCTTAGCGGGAACCGAACCCGGGTCTCTCAGGACCGCAGGCCGACGCTCTAACCGCTGAGCCAAACCGGCCAGGGCTCTTTATCACCTTTTTAAAACGAAAACTCCCAGTACCCCCTAATACTGCTTTTATTTGTGGCTATAGTAAAACCACCAACTTTATTCACTTATTTTGTTGGTTCTCTCTTCTTATTAGTATATAAACTCCATAAAGGTAGAAAGTCTTAGTATATTTTTTCACTGCTGTATCTTTAGCGTCTAAAAATTACCTGCAGAAAAGGCACTCAATAAATACTTATTGACTAAAAAAAGAACTATTCCCAAGGTCTCATTCTCTCCCTGTTCTTCCTTTCCCAAGCCTCTCTTAAGACATTCCCCACAACACAACCACCCCATCCCAGCTCCAGTGTCTGCAAGACATCCTCTCCATGAATGGTGTCCTACCCACTACTCAGCCTGCCCTCAGATCTCACAGTAGCTGGAGAGGAACCCATCTGGAGTAGGAATTTATAGAATTGTATGCTAAAAGAAATGAAGGATATTCTCCAACATCATTACTAAATCCTCTAACTTCTAATTTTTAAAACATGGTTTGCAGTAAATAATAACCAAAAAAAAAAGCAACAAAAGCTTGTAAAAACTCTGCCCAATATTACAATGTTTTAAACAGCTTCTAAAAAGGCAGAAACTGGGTTTCAGGGCTTGAAAGATGAAATCATTTAGCACAGCTCCGAGTACTCAAGGGGTGTCCAATAAATCTAAATTGATGATGACTGAGATGAGGCTCCCAGGTTCCTTGATCTGGCAGGGCCCTCCTGAGATCACATCATCCATCCCTCTGTCTTCAGACAGATTCCATAAAATCAAGGCCCCATAAGCGGGCCACCCTCAGTGCTGCTTTTAAAGCCAGACAAGAAGCATAGGTTCACAACCTCTCTTGGTTACTTGATCCCAGTGGGATGCTGAGCGGCAGGGGTAAGAGTTGCTCTCTGAGCCTTTATAATCATGACATTGAGGGCTCTGATAAGCAACTCTTACAAGGAGGTGGGGGTGGGGCAAAGAAGAAAGCAACCAAGAGGGGAAAATACAACTGAATGAGAGTCCGGGACAGTAAGACTGAGGAGTGGAAGAAGACACGCAGGCAGAAGAGGAGTGGGCAAGAGAGAAGTGGGGTAGACACAGGGGCAGAAAAATTAAATAAGTCAGAGAAACTGAAGGGGCTAAAAGTTTAGAGAAGGAAGAGAGATAATGGAGAGATAAAATAGCAATAAGCTTTTTATTCATTTTGTTTGTTAATCCTCACCCAAGGATTCTTTTCCATTGATTTTTAGCTGAAGTGGAGTGG